ACAAGGTCTGGTGCAAAGAATATCTCCTTTACCTTTTCTTGCTCTTTTATTAATGCCTCTTTCCTGTGAGGCCTTCTCTAGTGGAAAACCAAGGGCCAATCTTTCTTTCTTTCTTTCCTTTCTTTCCTCCAGGCAGCGGAGAACGGACACCATGAACTTTGCTGTCTTTTGCTGAAGCATAATGCAAAGCTGAGGAACATGCAGGACAACAGCCTCCGGTATGCCTACAACTTGGTTCCCGACAAGAACGAAGATCTGAGGAGGCAACTTTCAGACCAGTGACTCATTTATGGAGGACTCAAAAAACCGAACTGTTCTCTTAGATCTACATTTCTCAATCCTGGGTCCCTCTAGATGTTTAGCATGTGGCCTCCTGGAAACCCTTACTTGCTGGCTGGGGAATCTGAGAATTGACATTCAAAAGAACTGGAGGACCAGAGGTTGAGGAACCCTGTTATAGACGAAGGACTCCATGTCACCCCCTTGTCTGCTGTCTTATGATATTACAAAGAAGCAACTGTGAACCAGATTCATTTTACTCTGATCTCTTTAGAACAAAATTGGACAACTTGTGTCCCTTTGGATGTTATTGAACCACAGCTCCCATTGGCTTTAGCAAGCATAGCAATTGACAAGAAAAGATGGGAGTTGCAGTTCAGCCACGTATTTCCCTGCCCACTGGCTTAATAACTTCTTGTGTATCTTCAAGTTAATGCTGACTTACAGTGACCCCATCGAAGGGCTTTTGTGGCAAGATTTCTTCTGAAAAGGTTTGCCATCGCCTTTTTCTGAGGCCGAGAGAATGTGAGTTGCCCAAGGTCACCAAGTGGGTTTCTGTGGCTGATTGGAGATTTGATTCCTGGCCTAGACCAAGTCCAATACTCAAACCTACTACGCTATGCTGGCTCTTTGTAGCTTGGTTAAAAATGGCCAAAGACTACTGTTGCAGTTTCTCAATGCTTGGCCTAGTTTTAGGAAACATGGAAGGAGAGGAAGCATTGGGGTGTTAATTGTAGGTGAGGAATTGTGTTAGGATCAAGTTTTTTAGCCAATAGGGGAATTGAGCTGGGGGGGGATACTGGTCTCTCTCCATGCAGCCTTGTTATCCTGTCTTCCCTCTATGCTCCCCTTTAGCATTTCACATTTTGATTCTGCAGTGATGGTATCTCCTAATTCATCTTACATATTATTATCAACTTGGGTTTCAACATTTCATTGAATTTTAGATTTCAATGTTTAGAACTAATGGAGGCCCACAGTTAATCATTCAGATTACTTTTAAATGCAGGTTAAAATTATTTTTAGTATAATTATTTATCAAACCTGCTGATACCAAGTGCCTACTGAGAAGAAGCATGGGAATGTGGATGTGAGAGGGAGAGAAACAAAGAGCGAGAGGAAAATTGAAATGCCTCTTTTAAACTAATGTTGCAACATGGGTGTGCCATCACCAAAATAGAAGAATACCTTTTATTTCAGTACTTTTATTTTATATCAAAGCTTAGGCTGACCTATTTGTTTGGGTGACCCTATTGGAGATTTTCATTGTGTTTTTATGTGGTTGACTTGCCCAGTAATAACAAACACATACAAGCAAGGAATTGGCAGATTGCAGTTGAACATTTTGGTCTCCAAAACATTTATTCCTACAGTGAACAAACAAAAATGTTGTTTTGTATTTAAAAGCACATTGGTACATTTTTCCCAGTGCACAAGGACCTGTTTATACAATATGCAGACTCCAGATGGTGAAGCACATTATGGTGGATTGTGCCAACCTACGTGAAGCAGCTCTCAGCCAGCTCCGAGACGTGCCAGCTGAGTGGCATTGCTTGGAAATTTATTTTTTAAAGGCAGACCTGCTGAAGCCATCTATAAACTGAATAGTTGTAGGTCTATATTCTGACTGCTGGCAGATGTATTTCTTATTTGACTAGAGATTGTCTCATAGATGTGGCTTCCAATTCCCTTAGTGTGACTACTCAGAAGTAACCTTTTAATACTTTAGAATCTACTAAAAAATGGATCCAGGAGATTTAGTAGACCGCAAACTAAACATGAGTCAACAGTGTGATGTGACAGCTAGAAAAGCCAATGCGATTCTGGGTTAGGAGTGCAGTGTCTAGATTGAGGGTAATAATAGACTCTGTTCTGCTTTTTGGTCAGACCTCACTTGGAACACTGTGTCCAGTTCTGGGCATCACAATTCAAGGATGACATTGATAAGCTGGAGCATGTCCAGAGGAAGCCAACCAAAATGGTGATGGGTCTGGAAAACACCAAGTCCTTTGAGGAGTAGGTTAGGGAGCTGGGTATGTTTAGCCTGGAGAAGAGAAGGTTAAAAGGTGACATAATAGCCATGTTTAAATATTTGAAGGGGTGACTTACTGAGGATGGAACAAGCTTTTCTGTTGATCCAGAGACTAGGACCCAGAGCAATGGATTCAAACTACAGGAAAAGAGATTCCACCCAAGTATTAGGAAGAATTTCTTGACTGTAAGAGCTGTTTGACACTGGAATATGCTGCTTTGAATATGGTGGAATCTCCTTCTTTAGAAGTTTTTAAATAAAGGCTGCATAGAAGTGCCTTGATTGTGTATTCTTTTGCAGCAGGGGGTTGGACTGGATGTCCTTTGGGGTCTCTTCCAGCTCTATGGCTCTACTCCTGCATAGGGCTGTATGAAGAACACCCCTAAATACTTAATCGAAGAGTTCCAGGTTTGGAAAATAAAATACCCTCAGAGACTGAAAACCTTCCTGCCTCATTTTTCTACAGACAGTCTGTTTAACTTCTGAGTTTGCGTCCATCCATGATTTTACCGAGAGGATGAACCGCATGATGGTAGAAACAGGAGGAGGGCATGACAGGGTACCGATGGCATCTCTCACATTAGGGAGTTGCAAGCAGGTGAGTGAAGCCTTCTTCCTGGTATGGCTGATCATGCAACTCTTTCCTGTAATGGTATCCCCTTTATCAAATGGAGGGATCTTGGGCATCCTGCGCCCCCCTGTGAGCCGTAAAGGGGAACAACCCATTAGCTTGTCAGGTTCAACTGTCCCCATCAAAAGTACAGAAGCCTGGACTTCTTGAAGGAGAACTATAAAGTCTCTCCTCTCTCTTACTTAACCTTGAGGGCTTTGACAACAGCAAGGGATAAGGGAGAGAGAAACTGTATAACATCCACTGGGATTAAGTATCATCCTATCTTGAGGCTATTTCCATCCTGCCAGCCTTGTACCTTGTAATACGAACTCAGAGCAGCCTAGCCATACAGAATCCAGGCTTTCGGATCCCCGTAACCCTTTCCTTTCCATTCTTGGTATCTTGGCTTTGGCAGTGGAGGAGGAAATCTGTGGGGCTGGAGGTGTTTGGAGTATAACCCATGTACCTTCCTCATTGCTTAGTACAGAAAAATATGTGGTGGCAGCCCCTGTTTTTTCTCTTCTCCATAACTACTGTAGTTTTTGCAATGGCTTTTTAAGAACAAAACCACAACTTGCCATTTGTCATCGTTATGTGTGTTAAAAGTAGTTTCTGACTTATGGGAATCCTAAGGCTATCAGAGTTTTCTTGGCAAGATTTGTTCAGAGCGGGTTTGCCTTTGCTTTCCTCTGAGGCTGAGAGAGTGTGACTTGCCCCAGTGGGCCAACCAGCAGGATTCCACAGCCTAGTAAGGATTCGAACCCTGGTCTCCAGAGTCATTGTCCAATGCTCAATCCACGCTAAAATGTCCAGCAAAGTGTGATGAAATGGTTTGAGTGTTGACAGTACAACTGTAGAGACCAGGGTTCGATTCCCTTCTTGGCCATGAAATCCACTGGGTGACCTTGGGCAAGTTGCATGCTCTCAGCCTCAAGGGGAGGCAATGGCAAACCTCTGAACCAAGAAAGCACCATGATAGGGTTGCCATACTTTGGAAACTACTTGAAGAGATACAACAGCAACAAAATGATCGGTCTGTATGCCCTGCCAACATGACTGTATTATGGAGGTTCAGAGCATGTCATTTTTACCTTTGCTAATTTTCTTCCTAATGGACTGCTGCCAATTTTGCTGGGGATTTTGGAGAAGACAGTCCTCCATCTCACCTGAAACCTTCAGCATTGTAAGTCCTCCACCCTTCTGGGTCTGGGAATCCTATCTCCATCCTCCTCCCTCCCCTTCACACTTTGCAAACCTTTACAGTTATGAAGTTATTTTAGCTGGTGTTACATGGCACCCAAATTATCCAGTTTTCTGGCACGGTGGGGGTTTTGGGGTAGGGACTTTGGACTAGATCCTGAACCCGCCTTCCCTGGGGCTGGAATAAAACTCGATGCCCTACCCAGCTGCCAGAGAGTGAGCATTGGCAGCTCTGGGATCAGGGAGGACCATGGAGATTTTCAGCATTCAGCAGTTGGTAAGAGACTGGGATGGAGCAGCTGAAATGGGAGGGATCCATCCATCTAAACTGGGATTACTGGGATGAGCCGTTTAAAGATTTCGGATGGGGTAGTTTGCCTCATCCTGGGGTTTTCATGGTAAAAGACATTCAAAAGTGGTTTACTATTGCTTCCTTTTGCACACTACTAGCAAGAGTTAGCTATGGTGCCTTTGTCTCTGTGGATGCATCTACATTGTAGAATTAATGCAGTTTGACACCACTTTTAAATGCTGTATGCCTAAGGAATTTTGGGATTTGTGGTTTGCAAGCTATTTAGCCTTCTCTGTTAGAGAGCTGTGGTACCACAACAAACTAGATATCCCAGGATTCCGTCGGATGGAGCCATGAAAGCAGTATCAAACTGCATTAATTCTGCAATGTAGATGCAGCCTCCCTGGTCTTTCAATCTTTGTTGTTTGTTGTTGTGTGTCTTCGAGTTATTTCTGACTTATGGTGACCGTAAGGCGAATCTATCATGGGGTTTTCTTGGCATGTTTCTTCAGAGGGGCTTTGCCATTGCCATCCTCTGAGGCTGAGAATGTGTGACTTGCTCAGGGCCACCCAGTGGGTTTTCATGGCCAATCAGGGATTCGAACCCTGGTCTCCAGAGTCATAGTCCAACACTCAAACCACTACACAACTCTGGTTTTTCATGGCTCTCATTCCTAGGGTTGCCATAAGTCAAATTTGGCTTGATGGCAATTAATAATAACAATATGCGGTAAATATATATGATTTATGGATAACCAAGATGGTTGTGTCAGTGCTACACTTACCTGATCAAATGTGGAGCAAATGAGATCTTAGGAGCATGGACCAAAAATAATTTGGTGGGAGAGAGAGAAAAGGTTATAGACATTAAAAGATCTGCCTCTTGTGGGTAAATGTAAATTTTAAATTGGGAGAAAGAAAAAGGCATTGTAATTTAAGAGCACTCGTCATGGCAACAGGCATCATTTTTATGACAAAAATACCTCTTGACGTAGTTTATGGTGTATCGATGAATAGGCTATAAAAGGGCCGTGTATTCCATAGCAATTGCCTCTTTTGCAAACTTCCTTTGCGTCTTAGGTTTTACGTTGCGTTGTCAATCTGTCACATTTAGCTCTGCCCCGTGTTTTGTTTAAACCATTCCGGTTGAGAAGGGTAATTTATCAAGTCTTCCAGATGGGTGGCAAGTCACATTCTTTGTGAGAGAAACAGATGATTAAATTCTATGAATGTGTTCTAGTACAAATTTGGGTATGATTGAGGTTATAAATGCAATGCGCGTAAATAACAGGAAGGGTTAGAGGCAAGTATTTCTTGTGGATGGAGAAAAATAAATAAATTGTTGGACTGTGGGGTGTAAGCATGGCCCTTGGGAAAGATCATTTTCTGCACTATAGCTCCCAAAATCCTCAGCTAGTGTGGACACTTTTTCAAGGTCTGCCCCTGGGCTGGCTTTTGGCATGTTCAATCATATCCATACAGAGAGCATTACTTCATGTGTGGTAGGACAACTGCACAACTATGGGCTTGTTCACACTACACAATTATAGCACTATGATTCCACTTTGCTGCAGCCAAAAGAATCCTGGGATTTGCAGTTTAGGGGGGGCAGAGACTTCTAGTGCCAAGAAAACCACTATGCCACCTTGGCTTTTGGAATGGCAGGGTAGAAACGCTAGAAATAAACTTGGATTTGGATTTTTACAAAAATATATTTTGCTCCAGGTGCCTCCTCTCCATATGGACATCTCAGGCAGGAGATGGGCACCATTTCTGGGCATCATTTGTGGCAATTTGGGGCACAGGTTGTTGTGGGTCACAATCCACCAAGAAATTTCTTTGTATTAGCTCATCTTGAAACAGAAGTGGGTTTCCCAAGAGTCCAAAGACCTGTGCATTAGACTTTATTTTGGAGGATCAAGTCCTTTTAGGAGGCAAGAATTTTCCACCTTTGAGCCGTTCTACCTCCGGCGCCTGAATGTCTCATGTTGTTGACAATCCTGATGTTGCCGTCGCCAGGCATGCAGGATGGCATGCATTTCACGTAAGGTCTCAGCCTGGTGCCGTTGCTGTACACATGCATATATTCGTAAAAATAGAGGCTGCTTCAGCTGCGTCAGGAACAGCCGGTGGCATGGCAGGAATTTGGCAAGCTGGGTCCAGAGACATGGCACTATTTCCACTTGGCGGGAGAAGAAATTGGCATCTCAAGATGGGTCAGCAAACTTGTAGAAACCAATCCCCCCAGCCAAGGAGGGACGGATCCCAAGGAGGTAACTTTGAGGGCAGATTATATTGGTGAAGATATATAATGCTGCTTTTCTTTCTCCTTTTTTAGGTAAGTGATGAGCGGCCGGAGGGGAAAGTACGAGGTTTCGAAGTTTTGGCGAGAGGGGCAGCCGGGGAGCCTGGAAGTTGGCATTCGGGCCCATCTGGTGTATGGGAAGCCGTCAGCAAAGAGAAGCAGAAGGCAGAGGATGAGAAGAGGAAAAAGGTGAGCAAAGGAGGAGGTGCATGGCATGCTTCTTTGATGTTTCAGCATCTGGTATTGATTGGCGGTCTCTTGTCCAAGTGCTAACCAGGGCTGACCCTGCTTAGCTTCCAAGATCAGACTGGATCTGATGCCTTTAGCCTAGTTAGGCCTTCTTTACATCCTTGTGAAGAGGGAAATATATTTTCCAGCTTGGGCACCAAACCATTTTGGGTACATCTGTTGCAGAAGCCTCAATGTTTGCATTCCTTGTTGTGGATGACAGTTGCCTGTGTCTCTCATTTAATTCACCTTTTCTTTTCTTTTCTTTTCTTTTCTTTTCTTTTCTTTTCTTTTCTTTTCTTTTCTTTTCTTTTCTTTTCTTTTCTTTTCCCAGCTTGAGACACTCAAAAATTCCAGGCTGAAACTAGACAGCCTGCAGGACTTAGAGGCAATTATTAAACTTCGCAAGAATAGGAAGAAAGTGAAAAAAGTGGTCCGCCCCAAGAAGGAAGAGCCGGAAGTGATCGTGAGTATCTAATAGCCTGAGTCGAACGAGAATTTTGGGAAAAGTTCCCATTTGCTGCTATTGTTACAATATTTATTTAGATTCTTTCCCCCTTGAGTTGGAGACTCAAGGTGGCGAAAGAATTTGCACTGTGCAAAAGTTAAAAATATAGTATGATTAAAGCTTCAACAGAATTAAAAGCAGTTGGAAACACTTTTTGTTTGAATCAGTTATTGGGAATTGGCTCCTTATGGGGACAGGGCTTTTAATAAGGTCCAATATTAGTCTATACTTATTTCTTTTCATTTGACTTATTTTTAACCTGCTTTCAGTTATGCTGATGTTGTTCTTGGGATGGGCTTCCATGCTTTATGTGACTTAGAGGCAACCATCTCCTAAGATTTTCTTGGCAAAATTTATTCAAAGAAGCTTCGCTGTTGCTTTCCTCTAAGGCTGAGAGATAGCTTAATTATATTTTACCATCTCTGTGTGTTTTTAGTAAGGCAAGCCTTTGTCTGTGCAGGTTGAGTCTCCTTATCTGAAATGCTTGTGTTTTGGATTTTGGAATTTTGGGGGATTTTGGAATACCTGTCTTTGCATATATATACATAATGAGATGCAAAGACAGGTATCCCAAAACCCACCCACCCCCCAAAAAATCCAAAATACTTCTGGTCTCAAGCATTGTACATAATAAGATGGAAAACCAGTATGGCATAGTATTTTGAGTGTTGGACTATGACTCTGGAGACCAGGATTCAATTCCCAACTCGGCTATGAAACCCATTGGTTGACCTTGGGCAAGTCACACTCTCTCAGCCTCAGAGGATGGCAATGACAAACCTCCTTTGAACAAACCTTGCCAAGAAAACCCCACAATAGCTTCACCTTAAGGTCGCCATAAGTTGGAAATGACTCGAAGGTACATAGCACATAATGAAAGATCTTGGAGATGGGATTCCCATGTCTAAACACAAAATTCATTTATGTCTCATATATACCTTAAAACACATAGCCTGAAGCTCATTTTATACAATATTTCAAATAATTATGTGCACCTGACAAATTTTGTATACATTGAACTGCCAGAAAGCAAAGTGGTCGTGATCTCAGCCACAATTTTGGAATTTGGAATATTTTGGATTTTAGCATTCTGGATAAAGGAGACTTAAGCTGTAGCTGTGTTAATTTTTATAAGGTGCCTTGAGTCCTAGGGTTGGAGAAATAGTGTATAATAAATAAATAAATAAATAATCAACTTGCTATTAAAGTGGTTAGTTAATACTAGGTGCCTTCCTAAGCATGCTAAATTGACTCTTTTGCTCCTTAGACAGAACCTGTAGGTCCAGGGCAATTTCTTGAAGCGGCACTGGAAAACAGGCTTCCTGTGATCGACAAATATCTGGCAGACGGAGGAGATCCCAATGCTCACGACAAGGTACTGGCATGCTTGGATGCAAGTGTGGATGTAAGCCAATGTTTCTTCCAAATCAGGACATTTCCTGATGGATTGTGGCTCACCTTACTGGTGAGCTTTTATACTATACCATTAAAGCATTTTCATATCATGATTGCATGGTTGCATCCTAGGGGATCCTGGCATTTGTAGTTTGGTGAAGCAATATTGCTCTTTGGTAGAGAATTCAATATAACCCAGCAAATAAATCCCAGGATTTTCTAGGATGGAAAATCAAGATGCACAAGCTCTACCTGCTGGCCGCTGGAAGCATTGCCCCAAATCCCCACATTGTATATAAGGAAAAACTAGGTTTTCTTGTTGTTTTGCTTTCTTGTGTCGGATGCTTAAGATAATCCATATAATTTATTTTGCACAATTGATTCTGCTGCCGCACGTCTCAGCAAAGGATCAAGGCCCAATGCAAAAGCCTCAACAGACTTCCAAAATTTGCCCACACTGAATCAAGCTTCTCCTCTTGAGAAACTTCACTTTTTAAAAAGTTTAAAAAGTAGACATTCCCTGCTGAGTTCTGCCATTTAAGACTTTCTTTCTTTTAGTTGCACACAGTTTGCACAAAGCGTTTATTGTACTGGCTGGGGATGATGGGAGTGGAGTCCAACTATATATACCTGGAGGACTACATCTACCCCAGCCCTGATCTAACTGAAACATGTTCCTCACACAGAAAAACATTTTTCTGGGCAGAAATTTTATTTTCTGTGTAGGACACTTATTTTTGGTGCAAGAAACTTGTTTTCTGCTTAGAAATGCTGTTTTCTGAGTAGGAAGCTTGTTTTCTGCTCCAAAACAATGTTTTCTGCATGAAAGAAAAATGCTGTTTTCTGGAAACAAAACACAACCCGTCATGCATTATTTGCTCAGAATAAATCTTGAATTGGAAGACCCTCACCCATCTAGGATTCTGCTCATCAATGTTCCTATAGCTTGAAAAGAGAAACCCCTTTTTGACCATTTGTAGAATATTTTCAAATATTCTTTCCATCCCTATTATCAGGTCCATGTGTTGTTATGATTCAAGTAAAAAGGAGCTCTGACAGCACATCTGGAAGAGATATTGAGAGAAAGAGAGAGAGAGAGAGACAGGTTCCCAGCCAATATCTCTGACCATAACTATCATCATCTGAAATAGCACTGCCAGATAGTCTGCAAAGACTCTTGAGAACTGCTGGCCATGCTAACTGGGGGGATTCTGGGTATT